CTTGCCCAAAAGACACATTGAAGTTGGGGGTTTGTATGGATCTTCTAGGACTTGTCAACCTTCCAGTTGGGACCCCTCCTACAAGCAAGTGCTGTGCATTGCTTGAAGGCTTGGCTGATATGGAAGCTGCCATTTGTCTCTGCACTGCCATCAAGGCCAATGTGCTCGGGGTTGGCGCCTTGGAAGTGCCAGTTGCATTGAGTTTGCTTGTTAGTGCTTGCCAAAAATCAGTGCCCCCTGGTTTCAAATGTGAATGAGAATTACAAGCTCTTAGTACTATTTAAAATTGTGCTGCATTAGATTGTTAGGATGTGTGAGGTACAGTGTTGTTATTGTATGTTGCTAATGGTTCTACTGTTGGTTTTTTACGCCCTTTCTCTTGCCTTGCTTGTTCCAATTTCTAGAACAAGGGGATTAATTAATTAATTAATAGTCTTGTAGGGCAATGCCCAATTTGTTATAATAAGCAGACAAGCCTGTTTGCCTGTTTTCCTTTATTGTTATGTAATTGTTGTTGTTTATGTAATTTGGTGCTATGAATTATGTATTTTAGCTGTTGCTTTAAATCGCTTTGTATAAGCAGATATGGGTTTAGTCAAGTTGGCTAGAGCGTATGTGCTCTCCACTCTACAGCCGAGTTCGAATATTTTTTTTTAAAAAAGTTTTAAATTTATTTTAGAATTAAAAAAAAATAATGGGTAGTTGTGTTGTGTTCCATAAAAAATAGGATCTATTATCCAATTTTTCTTTTGATTTTTTTAATATGAAAAAATATAAATTTACCATATTATCCTTCTTTATTTAATTATTTTATATATAAAAAAAAGATAATATGGGTAAAATATTCCATCAAAGTAGGACATATAATCTGATTTGTTTTTAATTTTAATTTTTTTAATATAAAAAATGTGAATTTACCATATTATCCTCATTTAATTAATAATTTCAATTCTCAATATTTGAATTAACTAAGGGTATTTTCTGGCATTTTGAATGTTTCACCATTCTCTGCATTTTGCTTTATATATATATATATATATATGAAAAAGTATGAATTTACAATATTATCCTTATTTAATTAATTATTTCATAAAAAAAAAGATAATATAGGTAAAATATTCCATAAAAATAGGACATATTATCTTATTTGTTTTTAATTTTAATTTTTTTAATATAAAAAATGTGAATTTACCATATTATCCTCATTTAATTAATAATTTCAATTCTTAATGTTTGAATTAACCAAGGGCATTTTCTGGCATTTTGAATGTTTCACCATTTTCTGCCTTTTGCTTTATATATATAGATATATATATATATTATCGCTGGCATAAAATAGAAAAACTATTTTGTAACATGGGATTTTTTTATATATATACATATTAATTAGTTCAATGGATGAGAATTGAAATTTTGATAAGAAAGAAATCTGAACATGAAATCTTGCCCGGATCCCAATATAAAATTGGACATTAAGTCTGGTACGATTGCATAGCAACCAATACAAGAAAATCCAATTCTGGCTATAAATGGCCCTAACTTCCATGCCTGTCAAGCTACAAAAGAACCATCATCCATTTATATCTGAAAGAAGAGCAAATATGAGAAAAGCAGACCTCAGAAGCTTTTCTTTTGAACCTTCTTTTCTGGCAAGTTTTCTTTTGGGATTTTAAAACTATTCCCTACAACCTACTCAAGAAGAAAAGGAACTTCGAAGGGTTAATCATATTCTTCATCACACATGACCAAAAAATTGGGATGTTTGAGAAAACTAACATCACAGCTGGTTTATGTATCTATACATGAAAAATACTATTCATCTCAAGTTTTCTTTTCTGATTTTTGGTATTACGTAATATCTTACGTGAGAATCCACGTGGAACGCATTCTTGAAACACTTTATGAATGTTGTGATGCACGTGGAATGTATTCTCGAAACACTTTCTAAATATCGCAAGCCACGTGTAACGCATGGTTGAACCACTTATCTTTGCATTTATGTACTACTAATCGGCGTGAATAACGAGGTCACTAATAAATTGATTAAGCAAAACAAATGCACCTTTTCCCGAAACATTTCATGAAATGAGGGATAGAGTGGATATTGCATTCAGTGTTAAAGTTTTAGATATGGCTATTTCCATGCATCTTTGCTAGCATAGTGATACTGATGGCACATAGAAATAGACTTATAGAGATCTGATATTGAAAATTCAGTCTGGAAAGTGAACATGAAAGCATCATCAAAAGTTCTTTCTCCTCCCTAAGTTAATCAATATAATTAGTTACTGATTCAACCAGCTGCTTTTGATTAAGAATGACCAAAATGGCAGTGCCAAGTGGTGGGTCCAAATTGTGTTTGGTGCTGATGTGCTAGAATGTAATTGGTAGATCATCAGAAAATACTGACATTTTGTTCTATAAATAACCTCTCAGTTCATCAATCACCTACATGCCTCCATTTTTTCCCTTTCCTTCTTCTTCAAAATCAGAATAAGCATCAGATGCTATGCTAGAATTGAGAAATCATGTATCCCATGAATCATAAGTTGAAGTTTTCAAGTGTGTACAGATGATCCTCCTTGTGATTTTCCACAGCTTTCTTGAACGTCTGTGCCCTTTCAGGAACTATCAGATAATTTTCATGCAGTTCCAATAGCACAAAGACAGTTCAAGAAAGCTGTGAAACACCACTGGCAGGATCTGAATCGGTCATAAAAAGATTCTCATCTTCCTTCTACAGCTCTCTCTCTCTCTCTCTCTCTCTCTCTCTCTCTCTCTGCCCTTCAATGGTTACTACTTTGCCACTGCAATTCTGAAAGAAAATCCTCTTTCTAGCTCTATAAAATGTAAGCTTCTGTGTTAGCCCTTTTCTCCTTTTACCCCTTTTCATGCAGGTGGTTTAAATTGCAAGATCTTGAAAAGTTAGTCACAGAATTATATTGCAAGCAATTAAGAAACATATGATCAGGGAATTTGTAAACATTTCTGTCTAGTTTTTTTTTTCTTTTCTTGCTGCAGCTCTGGAAACTCCAAAGTGCCTTTCCCTTTGTTTGATTCCTTCCCTTGAAGAAAATGCCACCTAAGGTAGGCTAGGCACTGATCAGAGCCTCAAACTTGTCTTGTTCTTCCTAATAAATATATTATTAGGCATTGCTTGAATGTCACTAATTGCACTGACAAGTAGGCTGGTTCAAGGGAAGTACCTAGAAAGGCAGGGAAGCCTAAGGTATCACCCCTGAGATTAGGCCTGGTTTTATGCTGTTATAACTCTTGTAGCTCTAGGCTTGCATGTACATGTGTTTCAGTGCGTGACCAATTGTACAGATTAATTAATTGTTTTTTCTCTGCATTATCATTTCCGATCAATACTCACAAAATCAGGATGTGAGGGTTGAAATTCATGACCATATATGTAACAGTTAGTGCAAAATAATAATAATAATAGAAATATATAAAATAAAAATTTCCCCCATGTATAAACTGTTAGTGGAGGATTAGTTACTTAAGTAAAAATTTACCTTTGCCACGGTTGTTGTTGATTCTCCCGCACTCTTGCATGAGATAAGAGTGCTGAGAGTGAGAATAACAGTTCCCTTTATATATCGAGATGATTTCTTTTGTGAGATAAAACATGGTGAATATGTGTATACAACAAAGTTTGATGGTAATTAGTACAAGAAGCGTTTTCTTCACTTTGGTTTGTGGGTATATATAGTAAAATAGAGCCCATGATTCCTGGGTATCAATCCCAAGCACATTTCTTTCACACTGTAAGAGAATGCGTGTGATGGTTGCAGCAGCAGCAGCAGCTGAGTACTACAGAAATCGTGTGAAGTCCTTTTGCTGAAGCTCAGGAAACATGGGGTCTTGTCTTGCCTCCTCTCTATTCAGAGATTATCATGACCATGGAAGCTCACACTTGCTTTTTTATTAAAATTGGGTTGGAAATTTTTAAAAAAGCCAAAGCTTTGGGATTTGTTTTGGATCTTATTGTCAAAATCTCATTTTTGGGAACAAAGGTGAGTCAAAAGATAAAGAAAGGAGGGTCTTTTTTTGCCGTCTATAGATGGCAATAAAAGGTGAATGCACATACAAATCTTTCGGGATTTTTGGTTTGTCTCTGTGGCAAAGTTAGGTTCATTTGTATTGCTCTACTTTTTGAATTTGGTCTCTATGAAAAATGGAAAATTTTATATAGACCATTAACCTTAATCATCTCAGTCATTTACGTTATAAATGAAATTTGGTCTCTATGAAAATCCTTCACTTTACATTTTGTTACGGTATTCTACTAAATTCTTTCACATAGTCCAAAATGTCCCTGTTAACATGAATTTCTGACTCCGCCAACGTGCCCACACAACCAAAGTTGGTTCAACAAATGGTCAATGAGAAAGACTTGGCATGCTTGAGGGTACCCAATTAAGCTTCAGAGCCATTAGGTTGTTCAATTTTAGTTGCTAAGTTGATGGATAGAGCAAAGAAACAAATGTAACTTCATGGGCCTATCTAGACACAAAGAAAGGGCACACCTACAAATTTTGGGCTCAAAAGAGTGAAACAAAAAACAAAAGCAACTTTCATGGGTCAAGCCCAAATGAATCAAACCAACCAAGTCAATCAAAAAGACTATTAACTTAGATAGTGGGTTGAATTGATTAAAGAACCCTAAACAATACCAAAAGAAGCATTTGGTGCCAATGCCGTGAAGGCCCAAGGGTAATAAGGGGTTTTCACTCAACGCAAAGGCCCAAAGTAGCCTTCCGCCTGCTTCTGTCCTCGCCGTGAAGCTCAATGCAACTGCACATGAAGACAGTTAGGTGAGACTGTTTAATATTACCAAAAAGGAAATTTAAAAAATTATTTAATAAAATCAAAAAATTTAAAAAGGAAAAAAGAAAAAGAAAAAGAAAATAAGAGAGGTGCAATCGGTGGTGGCCTTTCGAATCGAATACTGACAGACTCTCTTTCTTTCCACCCAAAAAAAAAAAAAAAAAAAAAAAAAAAAACAGACAGACTCTTTCCAGAAAGAGAAAAAGAAAGAGAAAGAGAGAGGGAAGACTCGCAATTCGGAATTTTTTGCTACAGAAGAAGAAGAAAGAGAACGAATCGAAGCTGCAGGTGATACGCAACGCTCGCGGCTCCGATTAGCCACGTTGCCCATTCTTCTGCTAACGTGCGCCATCGCTCTCGCAGTGACGACGAAGCGGCCAATGGAAATTGTGCGGAGGCCACCTGTTTCTGTTTCTATTTGACCGAGAGATTCTCCTTGGCCGGCTCGTCCGATCCGATCATCAAAAACCCTAGTTCCGTCTCTCTTTCCCACTTCTTGAGAGAGAGCCGGCGATGATCGATTTCAATTCTTAGAGAGAGAAAGTGAATTCTTGAGAGAGAGAGAGAGTGTGTGTTGTAGAAAGATCGGAAAATGCAGAGACGGAGTCCTCCGAAGCACCGGCACGATGGGACTTCGCCGCTGCCCCTTGGGATGGATTGGAGTCCTCCTCCGCGTAAATGGGTTCGTTTGCTTTCGCTCTCTTCAATTCCGTTCATTTCAAATTTCATTTAAAGTTCCTCACTTTGAATTATATTCTCATTGGGTTTGTAAATTCGAGCCTTTCGCTTACTTGGTCTAATTTTAAGCTCATTAATTTCTAATTTAAGCTTTTAATTTTTAGTTTAATCCCGTCTTTTATACAATCGATCAGTTCATCAGTTATAGTGGTTTGATGCACCTCCTCAACTCTGTTCTCTTACAGTTTCAGCAATGCACTCACATTTCATGAAAAGTATTTTACTTTTTAATTATCTCTAGGCATTCAATTCTTACCATTACTTTAATCACTCTTGCCCAGGGTTCCATCTAATTCCAATGGGTATGACTTCTTGGACTCTGTGTGTTTAGATTATCTACGCTTTAAATTTGAACGCTGTCTTGTTTTCTTTTTCTTAGCTGCTTTCCAATTTGGCATAAAAAATTTCTTGTTGCCCAATTTCTTCACAAGTCATGCCACTTATTAATTAAGATTACAATTTTATTTCTTCATCGAGCAATCTCGTAGCATTTAGGAATAATAACCATTAATCTTGCAAACATAAGTTGATGTGGATCCACACTTCGAACATCATGTTACCAAATGGTTAAGCGAGCTCTTCACCAGAAAGAACAGATTTGACCTTTTCTCAACAGTTGCATTTCTGCTCTCTAGTGTGGATAATTGTTTTTCCCCTTTTGCCATTATTGCACTATTTATTGTCAATCAAAGTTGAACATAATTTCTGGGTATCTTCTAATCCAAAGGGTTCACATTCATTTTGCAGAATGGGCGGGACACAGTTTGGCCACATGATCCTCGCACAGGGTGGAGTTATTGTGTCATTATACCCTCCTGGGTTGTCCTTCCAAAATCAAGAAATTCAGATCCCGTAGTGGTATTCAAATTGAATGACTCTCCAGTGTTTATCTATGCCCAGGGTTAGATGTTGTTTTATATCATCTTTTGGGATCCGAGTACAATTAGGAAATCTATGTCCATGGTTGAACATTCTATGCTTGAAGCTTTGAATAATATGGTGGTAGCCTCGTCCACAAGTAAATTAAATATGTTTAATTTACTTCATGGTCTTTTAGGTTTCTGCAATGCATTTGGGTGGTATAGCAGTCAGTTTGGTGAACATAAAGTTGTAGGCGATCCTGTAGGTGCATTGTCATTCATCATCGACCCTAGCAAGTCTTCCTTGTATTACATTATAATGTTTTCAGACTCTATTCAAAAATAATGTTTTCAGATTATACAATGTAATCATGTGGTATAACATTTGTATGATTTTGTGACAAGCTTGATGACATTGATAACATAGATAATGAGCATAGCAGTCGAGATTAAGATTCCCATTTGGATAGATCTAACTTTTTCGGTTGAATGTGAATAAACATATATAGATATTAGTTTCTTGTAAAATAAACATTTACAATACCTGCATGCACAATGGCTATTTCAAACTGATACTTCATATTTTAGACTTTCACATTTGTTTACAGTCTATACCAGTCTTTTGCATGTTCTATTGTAACATTTTAAGGGACAGTTCTACAGGGTTCAGGTTGGTGTACAATCACCAGAAGGTGTTACAACTACAAGTGGAGTGCTAAGAAGATTTAATGATTTTCTGAAGTTATTTAATGATGTAAGTACTGACTTCAGACTGTCATATTCGGTAAAATAGGTATTTACTTTATGGTAGTATGGTAATTCACATCATGATGGCTACTTGACTGTTCTCTGAGGACTCTTTAAGGAAATGTGTTCATGACTTTTTCTTTTTAAGTAACAAATCAAAGGGCGCTTATTATTTTCTTTGTGTGCTGTCACTTGCAGCTTAAAAAGGCATTTCCCAAGAAAAATCTCCCACCAACTCCACCCAAGGGGCTTTTGCGGATGAAGAGCCGGGAACTGTTGGAAGAGGTAGGTGAAGTTTTCTATTGCTTAATCAGTTTAACATGAGTGGCATTCAATGGAAAGCAAGAAACTCCCTCAAGTTTGTTCATATTTACACAAGGGATGATTAGTCTCAAGTCTTAACTGAGAAGTAATTTTTTTCAAGAAACAGTATTATTTGCAATCTTCAAACAATGGGCTGTGCGTACACTTGTACACTTCCGAGACGCTGACTAATATTTCTAAGAAGTTTTAGTTTTGTTGCAGAGAAGGTGCTCTTTGGAGGCTTGGATGACAAAGCTGCTTTCTGATATTGATATATCAAGAAGTGTTGCAGTTGCATCCTTCCTGGAACTAGAGTCTGCAGCTAGGTCTTGTATGTGACTACCTTGTGCATTAAGTGTTGTAATGCATATTTTTCTTGTGTTATACATGTTCAGTTTAGAGATATGGGATGTCTAATGAATCCTTTTCTCTTTCACAATTTTTCAAAATTAGAATCCTTTTGTAGATGCTAATGTATCAGTTCCTTGTCATAATATATTTCAGCATTCCAAGATGCAAGTCAAAACACTTCAGAAGTGAATTCACTTCAATCGCCTTCCAATTCTGCCTTACCTGTCATTGTTGGTAGTTCATCAATCACATCAGATTATGGAAGTGATACCGCTTATGAGACATCTGAGCTAGGAACACCTAGGCAAGCAAGGGATGACAGTTCTGAAATTGGTATTGAAGATCTTTTATTGGATGAAGATTTAACAAGCCCAATAGAAAAGCTTGTGAAGTATGGCATGACCAATATTGACGAAGGACTGTTTATGGGACAGACTATACTAGAGCAGTTGGAAGGCCTTCCTAAGCATAAAGTGCATGCAAGAAATGTCAATAATGTTATAGGGAAGGATACATATAATGGAAATGCTTCTAAAACTTCAATTCAAGCTCGTAATGGAATGGAACTTTTCTCTGCACCAGAGCATAGTAAAGTATTCGGCCATTCTCGCAAGCTCTCTAATGAAAGTGTGGGAAGTGATGTTAGTTCTCAAAGAGGTAGTGAAATGTCTAACTCTGGGGTTCCAAATTCATCTGGTGATGGTTCTTTCGATCTTGTTGGAGGTGCCGAGGTTTCAAGCATCATGGAAATTCTTGGCAACGCAGAGTTACAAACTTCAGGTGGCACTCAGGTAGTTCTCCCGTTAGATCAGCGGCATAAATTGAGCAGGGTTCTCTTGACTATGCAACGAAGACTAGTCACGGCAAAAACAGACATGGAAGATCTTATTGCTAGGTTAAATCAAGAAATAGCAGTGAAAGATTACCTCACAACAAAGGTATCTTAAATTAATCGTGCTTTTCGTGGTGTCAATTGTTTGAGTTATATTTTGCTGGGCTGTAGATGAACTTCTTGATTATATCTAAGTTGATTAGTTGTAACTTGATATTTAAAATAAAATTAAAAATTAAAAAGTTCAGTTTTATTATTAAGAGTGCTTAATAAGAGAAGTAAGCCATTATAAACAACCTGTAAGAAAATGTTCTTTTGTCATGTGCCAAGAGCACTAGGAATCCTGTCATAAATTCTTCACAACGAGTAATCTATATATTTAATAAATGTGCAGTGTCCAGTTATGAAGTATGCTTTGCTCACATACTCTCAGAAGATTAATTGGTATAATCATGCATTGTAAATCTAACTGAGTTTGGTGTATCGTGTAAGAATGATGAAGGCAATAGCTGCCGCACTTGTGAAGTTATAAATGTTGATAAAAATTATTTACAGTTGTCTGCTGATAGATTTCGTACACCATTTGATTTCACAGATGGATTTCATGGCCTAATTGATTGGGTCTCTGCAGGTCAAGGATTTGGAAGTTGAACTTGAAACTACTAGACAGAAAAGTAAAGAAAACCTGCAGCAAGCTATTTTAATTGAGAGGGAAAGGTTTACCAAAATGCAGTGGGATATGGAGGAACTCCGGCGGAAGTCGTTGGAAATGGAGTTGAAGTTGAAGTCTGAACAGGTTATAATTCCTAATGTTTGTCTTGTCCACTTCTATTATGTCTTTTGCATCTGTCACGGTTTTTTTCTTTTGTGTCGGTTTGCATCTGTCATTTGTTAATGATTTGGGATTTGTACGTTGAATGGTACCAGGATAACAGGTCGTGTGCAGATGCAACAAAAGATTCCACTGTTCAGGAGAAAGACATAATGCCACAGGAGTTGGATCCTTATAAGGAGCAGCTTGAGAATTTGTCAAAGCGATATGAAGAGCTAGAGGCAAAATCTAAAGCAGATATTAAAGTTCTTGTTAAAGAAGTTAAATCCTTACGCAGTTCCCAAAAAGAACTGAAGCATGAACTCAGTAAATCGCTAAAGGAGAAATCTGAAGCTGAGGTAGTTTGTTACCCTTGCTAAAGCATTGTTAAATTCCAACTATTTCAAACTAGTTCTTGTTGGGTTATTGTTTTGAAGTGGTTCTGCTTTCTGTTTTTCTTCTTAACAATTGGCTTCCTTGCATTTTTGTTATTAACTTGCATTTCTGTTATTCTTCTAAGATAGATGTTTGCATGCAAGAATAGGACATATTATCATTTCGCATTCTAAAATGTAAATAAAAAAGTCCATTCATTTTTCATGGTTTTCCCAAGTAACTTCAATTAATTGATATGCAGCAGATGAGTCAGGGAGTAAATTATTTATGAAACTTTGATGTTTAAAGCTTTCTTTTATTTTTTTATTTTTCAGAAGCTTCTCCAACAGGAAAAACAAACAAGCAAGCTTGGAGAAACTGCTAGAGAAAGATTGTTGCATGACTGCAGGATTCTTCATAAGCAGCTTCAAGAGTGTAATATCAATTTTCCTGCAGACCCTTCAATGCTACCAGAGGCTTCAGATTTGTTGGCAACATCAGACAACCGTATTAGCCTCCTACTTTCAGAGGTAACTTTTATTTCTTTCCCAATCTCTTTTGTTTGCCACTTTTTATTTTCTGGCATCTTGTCGCATTATTCTACACTTCAATTTGGCCCGGCTTCTAAAAATCTTGAACTTAAAATTTGTTTGTTGCTAGCCTTCTTTTTAAACCATATCTCAAGTGAACTTTGCTTCAATTGATCAGGTACAACTCCTAGCTCAAGACAATGGAGCCACTACTGATGTTGGTGAAGTTGACAATTTTGTTGATGATACAAGAACAACAGACGATGAGTTGAGGAAGATGCTTGCAGACATTTTTTCTGAAAACGCTAGCTTACGGAAACAGTTGAACAGTGTCATACGTCAGGCTTGCAAAATGGACATTGCGTCTAATCAAGACGATGTCCCTCAAGACAAACTTCACTCGTGAGTAAGTAGGAAAATGTAGGGATGAATATTGTAAATTTTTGTTTTTTGTTTTTTTGTTTTTGAAAAAAAAAAGAATAATATGAGCCCTTCATCATCTGTTGTTTCATATAGCTCTCATTACACATGACACTTTTTAAGCTTGTGGTTACACATGTACAAGTCTCAAGAAAGTTTGTGCATTCTCTGCATTAGCACAATGTTGTATTCTTCTGTTTTTCAAGGGCATGAATAATAGAAAGAGATGAAGGGAAATTACTAGTGGAAAGCGGTTTACTTTTCGTATTGGCTTAGAGATTGAAAGCAATTTTGCCCTAGTCTATTATGTGCATGATTAGAGAACTGGATCCAAAAATACTTCTCAAAATTTTCAAATGCCAGTAACTTATTTTGTGCTGGTTGTTTAGGCTTAAACAGTAACTTTTCGAATTCTTCTGTTTCGGGTTAAACAGAAACTTTTCGATTTCTTCTTTCGCAATCGTAGTTTTATCAGGTAACTTGTATATCAATAATAGCAGTCAAACAAAGGAACCGTTTTCTTTGGCCGACAACAAATGTACCTTTTCAAGCCACGCCATATCTACAAAATGTACCATGCAATTTGGGGAAGAGGGAACAAAAATGTACTACAGGAGATAAAATTTTGCCTTTATTTGGTACACAAATGCTTGTGATGTCATATGTCAGTTGAGATGCATGTTTAGATTCTTTCAATGTCCTTTTGGAGCAGCTTGGTTGCTACTCGTGGTTGGCTTTATCCTCTTCAGCAAAACAAAATGGCAGAGATATATAATTTTTCATTAAAAAGGGGAAAAAAAAAGTTGCATAATGCAGAAACAAAGGTTTCCCATTTGAATAAGAATAAACCAATCTCTCAAAACAACATTTGTTCATGAATTTTGTTCGAAATGGCTAATGTTACACAGCAATCTACAAGAGATGCAGACGACGCAATGAGCTTTGTGCAGCAGAACTCAGTCACCCAAGACATTCATGGCCTCTTTTGCTCAAGTCAAGCATCATTGTTTCTGCAGTCAGCCCAAGCAGAACTAAACCAGATCTGCATGAATGAAGAAGTAAAGAATTAACTTGGAGAACTTGTAAGCAGGCCACGGATTTTACTATGGTCAGTCGTCTGAACGATTTCTGACCGTTGATGAGATGCAGGCCCCATATACATCAACAGTCAGCCATAGACGGCAAAACACGGCTGTCAGAGTATCCCAACTGACTGAATTTTTTTTTTCTTCCCTAAATAATGAAAAGATATCTTTCTTTCTTTCTTTTTTTAAACTCTACATACAATTTTGAATTGCCAACTAAGGACAATGGTGCAGTACCTCAACAACAGTTATTTATCTCGCGTGGCTCCACAAGGATATAAAGTGGCTTTCCATTAAGCCTGCACTGTCCCTGAAAGGTCACAATCATCAAGAGCAGCTCAACTGCATAGCACTTGAGATAAGAAAAGGAGTATGAGAGAGCATGAGTGGCTATGCACTCAATACACAATGCTTTCAAATTTGAAAATGAATAAAAAAATTCTCCTCGCACATTAAAGAATACCTCCAATTTTTGGGACAATTTATGATTTGGTCCTTACAGTTTGTCTGAAGTTCTACTTTGGAACATGTAGTTTCAATTTTCGTGATTTCGTAATTTGAAGGCAACCTACCCTCACATTGGCCAATCACATTGTAATTTCATCGAAAAATATTGGCGAAATCAAGTCATTGTCCTAAAATTGCAACAATTACTAAACTACATGCCTAAAATCGCAAAAAGCGGATCTTCGGCCAAGCTATAAGGAGCAAAATTGTAACTTAACCCCATTTTTAAGTTGATAAAGGCTCAAACTTTACCTTAACCTCAGGCAAACCAACAACGCATCCACATTCGACCACTTCAGCCCCTACACGTTCTAGAAAAACAGATTTTTTTTTTTTTTTTTTGGGATTATGTGAGTTTCCAGTTGGGTAAAGAAGCAGTAGAAGAAAGAAAATGAAGAAGAAATATCACAGGCCTAATAGCAACCACTCACCCAAAAGTGTTATTGCTGCTGACAAGGTCCCACCTGTGGCTATTAAATCATCAATTACCAATGCACGTTCACCAGGCTGAACAGCACCAACATGCATCTCCAGGCAATCAGTCCCATACTCAAGCTCATATGCTTCTGAAATTACTTCTCCTGCATAAGCAGCATCTGAAGTGAAGACTAAAGTATATTGAATGTGAAAAATGCAAGTACGAAAAAGACACCGAGAGATAGACCCATGGTTGTATATAGCTAGTCGTAGGGAAGAAGAATTCCCGATGTGGACGCGCTGGTGGTTTAAAACGAATTCAAAGGGTTTATTCTTTTCTTAAAGAAACAGCTAGATCTGGCTAAGGTTCATTAGATCAAGATGCTAAGAAAAGTTTCATTTGTCCACCAAATAAGAAATGAATCAAGTATTTTGAGACCATGGCAAGTGCACAAGACTACAATTAATTGAATCAGTCTTGAATTTTAATAGAAATGGAGGAATAGCTTTTGTTTACATATTAAAGATGTCTTTTACTGATCTTTCAAGAAATTAGCTCGCTGCTCATTATGACCCTCGTGAAGACCTAAATGAAAGTAAGTAATTGATAAAAGCGACATTACCAGACATTGAAAGTATGGCCAAGCATATTAAATTAGCCCACTGTTTACTTCAACTGTTTTAGTAGCCTAAATCAGCCTTTCAAAGGCTCAAAGGACACTCACTTTAATTATCTACTTCAAAATTGATTAAGGTGGACTGAGTGCACCAATTAAAGAGTAATTAATCCCTTGACTTTCAAAAAATTAGCAGAGCTAAAGTAGCATACCCGGCAACTTTCTAGGTTTACGTAAAGGGACAAACTTGGCGCCAATCGCTAAGGCAATCGAAGGACCAAACATGAACCCTCTGGCTTCCACTCCTGCATTTAATCACTAGATGAGAAGTATGCAAAGCAGACCACCACAAAAAAGGCAATTATGTTAATTAGATTTTCTAATCAAGGTCACCATCATGCTACTATTGGGTAAACTATACAACCAACTTGAGAAAATAGTGAATGATTAAGACCAATAATTGAGATAGTCCAACGACATAGACTCATTTCAAACAACCTTTTTTTCTAACAATGACGCTCATGTGCCTGTTCATCTGTCATGAAGACAGCAAAAAAATGAAGAACTCCACTTGGAGTTAACCATCAACATCAATAGCTAGCTTTCTTCACTCACTTAAAGTACGGACAAGAACGTAAGTTTTCAAGAAGCACAAAGATTGATCTATGCGGACAATTGGTCCTTACCCTTCAGCTCAGGAAATTAACTATGACAATGTGGTACAGCAAATGACAGGTTTAGAAAAAACCAGACACAAACATACAGAGAGTAATAGTAAACGTGCTAGTCACACAATATTGTTGATAGGATAAGTTTGAGGTCAACAGTTTATTGATTGAAAAAAGAAATTAAGGATTTTTTTTTTCAATTGGCTAAAAAATCCTCAAAAATCAGAAACAGCGTTCCGAGCGACCAAAACTGCAGCAATGCAGGAGAAAATGCAAATAGCTTATTATTAAATGAAGTACCAAGAAAAAAAAAAATTTCAATTTCATCAAAACCTTCTTTAACCGTATGGCTAAAAATTGATAGAACTGCAGAAATGGACTTAGCCAAGTTGGTTAGAGCGGATGTACTCCCCACTATGCACCCGAATTTGAATCCCCTCCCCCATAGTTTTGATTAGATTAAGTAGAATATCGCTTGTATCAACAACAACAAAAATTGATAGCACTGAGCTAAAATAATCTGTCATAGCTCCAAAAAAAAATCCCAAGGAAAAGGAACTAATCTGCTCTGTTGTGAAACTAGAGTAGTGTATTTCCTCCACGGATATAATTCTTGAGGGGGGTAAATTGGAGAAAATATTTTCAAATCAATAAAAGTGGTCATATTAAACTAAGATGGATGATACTGTTATACCCCCAAAAAAAAAAACAAAAATTCCCATATCGAGCCCTTAAAAATCATCCATGAAATCAACAAGGATTGCAGCTTCAAAGACCAAAACATATCTCAAGACAATCGAAGTAGCAGTAAAAGCCAAACGAAAGAGGCAAAGATAAAGTACCATCCTCTGTGCAAGAAACCCATAAATAAACTAATTAAGCCCACATTTCAATATTCAAAACATTAATAAACCTTTAAAAAAAAACTTAAAAAATGTACCGGCAACAACAGAGATGTCCATGTCTCTGTAGCGATCAACAAAAATGTCGACAGTATGCTTGAAGGCCTTGTGATCAAGCAACAATGTTGTTATGTCTTGAAACATTATTCCTGCCAACATAGTAAACAAACAACAGCCTTGCTTGATCAAACTAAACAAACAAACACTGACAGCCGAAAAATAAATATAATAATAAAAATAAAAATATTACCCAACAAAAAGAAGAAGAGAAAAAACAAGGAACCTGGTTTTGGAAAGTGAGGCACAACCCTGATGGCTTCAGATATGGCTTGGAGCCTTGGGTCTCCTCTGAGTCCATTTTCTGCTGCAAACATTTTTTTTCTCCGGTTTTCTCTCTCGCTCTCTTCAAACTACTTTTTTTTGGGTCGAAATTCTCTTCAAACTTCAAACACTTCAATGGCTTTATAAATCTTTAGGCTTTTGTTGCCTTGGCCCTTCTCTCTCTTTGTTTGCTCTAATCAAATGGGGTTTTGGGTTTTGGGTTTTGGGTTTTGGAATTTTCCCTCCTAAAACTGACCTGAAAGCTCAAATCTTTCTGTGTGTTGTGTTGGGTTCTGTACGAGAGAGAGAGAGAGAGAGAGAGAGAGAGAGAGAGTAATTGCCTGCTAGTGGTTTTTCGTTTCTTCATTTATTATGTTGGCCAAACCACAGCACTTTGGAAGATACGTAGGTGAAGCTGATGGTGACGCGGTTTTAATGCACGTGTACTGCACGATGCTTTTTCCCATGATTTATATCAAATTTGATGATGATGCTTCTTTTCAAGTTCTTGATTGAAATTCAAGAGGTCTTAACAAGTTTTACCACATGCTTGAACAAGGAAACAAACAAGTTATGGTCAAATGTCATGTTTGCATTTATATATTTTGCCACAAATGAATGAAGAGGGTAGCACTATTTGAGTTCTTCGCAAAATTCCAACTTCTTTTAATCACATTATTAAAACGAGTGTTATTTATACTCATTTACAAACGTAAAATAAATCAAGTAAAAA